AGAATACTTAAGTGTATCAAGTTTAGCACCAGATTGCTATATAAGCCCAAAGTGAGTCGTACTTAACATTATGTTTCACTTATATCTTGCTCCTGACTGCATCTCCTTTGTAATGGATTTTTATTATCAATTACCTAGTTGATGCCCTGGTACATTTGCTTTTTTTAAACCAGGGTTTCCTAAATAGGGAAGAATATAGAGACTGACATGATGTGATCTTTGCTTCACATCTCTCAGTTTTCTACCCTGAGACCACCACACACAGACTCTCTAAGCTCATTGCCTGCATCTCCGTTCTCTGCCTAGCAGGTATCTGTGATATTGGCAGGGAAAATACACAGGGCACTTGTTAGACAAAGACACCCATTCCCATGAGGGCTACATATGTGAAGGTGTCCCTTCAAATCTCCTTGTTCAATTTCTGGCATGAAGCAATGTTTTCAACCCAAACAAGCTATTCATTGGTGGTCTCAGAATTTACACTTGGAGGTGATGTAAAACCAAAAATACACTCTAGATTTTGTCTTTTGTTAACCATAAAGACTTAAAATTCAAGAGAAAAAGATGAAATGCAGTAGTAAATTTCCAAGATAACCCCGTCACGCTTTCATGTAGCCCCATATTTCTCTGCATAACTAAAAATTTCTGGGAGCTCACTCCCAGGAGAACAGACCTGGAGAGGCATTGTTTGTGCTCAGCATTTAAGGTTAAGAGGTTCATTTTTTAGTTCTTTCTTGCACCTGTTGAATGGGTTTCTCCTTACCATCCTCACCCCATATCCACTCTCTCCCACCCCCTTTCAACAGCATCATTTTTCCACCCTTAACTGCCAACTAAGGACAGTCATCCAGTGAACACAGACCCAGGGTAACTTGTAATAGTGAAGTCAAATGCTTATGTTTTTCCCTGCAGTAGGGCAACATTTTTCATCTCTTATTTTCCTTGGCCAGATAGAAGATGTCATTCAGGGAACCCCAGGTGTTTTGAAGATGAAAAGGAAGGTAGGGGGCCTGGCTCAGTGCTTATTAACCACAGAGAGAATTTGGTTCACTTCAAGAAATAGTAAAATAATGGCACGGGAGAGACAATGACTCTTAATGAATTCATGTGAGTATAGTGTGAGGTGACCAGTTTGGAAACATGCAGTCCCGAGGTTGCCTTCATTCTGGGGGAGAAAAATGAAACAATTGTTTTTCTATTACTACACAGTATTTCCCTCCCTTTCCTGAAGAACACAGGGCTGCTGGGATTTCATGTCCAAGGCCAGGATTTCCTGTCTGAGTACCTTGGCTGCCATTTGTCTTAAATAAGGCGCCTAAACAGGTTACACTGGAGTCCACGATCAGGCTTGAGGTAGAAATAGTATCAAGTCTCCCTCAGCCAGGTGACCTGTTTCACTGCCATCTCTGCAACCCCCCACCCCCCAAAAAAAAAACCCTTGGAGTTCAGGAGGCCCTCACCCTCAAATCCCACCCACACTCAGGCTTGATCATCTTCAGCTTCCAAATACCACTTTTCCTGTTCAGACCAAAGTCCCATGGAACGTATCAACTGTCTGAAAAATAAAAGTCTTCCCGGCCCTGTGAAAGAAAGGAAACAGAAAAGCTGTAGAAATAAATCACAGAGGCTGCCTCGAATCCTGGACAGGTGGCACCTTGGCACAAGTGCACTGAAATCACTTTCTTCCTGCGCTGCGGAGAGCTGAATCCCTTTCCCAGAAAAACCAACACCCCTCAATCTGGAGGGAGAGGGTGCTGGAGGAGGAGACAGGAGCTCAGGGCGAGAGGTCTGTGAACTCCCGCGAAGCCGTGCTATAGACCTTGGATCGGCATATCTAGTGTAAACGTGGTTTCACACATAAATAGCGTGCCACATATGGCCCTTCGGTTTTATGGCGTCTTAGCGACCGAGCAATTTGTATATGGCGACCTTGTTAACCGGCAGACCCGGCTCACCAGGAGCTGCAGGGTCCTGGGGACTAAGGCGGCGCGAGGGAGAGGAGAGACCTCGGTCCCAGATCTCCAGCGCAGGGGGTCGGTCCCTAAGGAGAGGGAACCTACCAGTCTATTTGGGGGTCAGGACCGACGCTAGGTGGCATTCCCCCTCCCCCAAGCCGGCCATGTGGCAGCTGAAAGAGCCATCGAAGCCCAAGTGTGTTTGCGCTCATACCCAATTTATTACCTCTGAACATATGGCCAATATTTTGACTCACGTCAGTCGGGCAAGAAAAACAAACAGAGTGCGCTGAGCGGGTGAACGGCCCCCTCCACTGGGGCTGTGCGGCCGCCTGGCCCACGCCGGGAGGGTGGGGCCGCGGGGCCAGTAGGGGGGCGCTCGCCCGCAGCGCCGCGCCGCTGCCTGAGCGCCTGCGACCCCGCAGCCGCCCGCCGCTCGGGATACTGAAAGCGGCCGGAGATCTGCGCGCTCGCGGAGCCTGGTTCCCGCGGCGCAGCCGCGCTCCAGGTGAGCCTCCTGCACGCGCGCGTGGCCGGGTGGCCTACTGGACGCGGGGAACGCGGCGGGGCGGGGAGCCGCTAAGGAGCCGGGCGTCGCCCTTCGCTGTCAGGCACGGACTGTTGGCTCCTCCTGCCCCAGTCCGCGCTGGCCTCCGCGGCCGCCGGGACCGGAAAGCGCTCTGGGCAAAGCCCCTGCGGCGGTCCAGGGGAGAGGAGTCTCGGCACTGCCGTGGCCGCCAAGCTGCGCCAGAGTTCGGGGTCCTTGCCAGACCGCTTGAGCTCCCCTCTCTCTCGCGGCTCGGACTCTGCTTCTTCACCAAGCCGCGGAGTACAGAAGCAGCAGGTGGCGAAGCTGAGCGTCAGAAGTCCTCCGCCGATTCTGCCGGTTGGGACTAGAGTCGTTTGGGGAGGAGCGGGCCCCGCCCGTAGAGCCCACGGACAGGAAAAGTTTTACCTGCGGCTGAGGCCGGGTGC